TCTTACTCTGCTTGTTCACCTAGTGACACACAGCAACTTGAGGGACTATGTGTACAGCCAGTGCCCTCTCATGCAGTGCCACCCTCTCTCAGCCTCTGACCCTTTGTTTTTATTTATTTATGTTTTGTATTAACCAGGATCGTAACTACAGAAGTGACCCAGCGCTCTCTGAAATGCCATCACTAGGTGCTTGCGCTCCTTATTGTTCAGTCAAGTCCTGTCCTGTGTGTCCCCCTGGCTCCTCCAGCCAGACCCTGAGCTCAGCCTCCTTCCTTTTGCTTGTCCTGCCCTGTCAACAGTCACGCGTACTATTCCCAACCGAAATCAACAGAGAGGGGCCACTCTGTGAATGGAGACCAAAGACGTTGGCACCAGGGAGCTGGAAGTTTGGACTAACAGATTTATTCCTCTGACTGTGCAGCTCAGTGAGAAGATGTATAAAAAGCAACAACAACAAAAAATTCATGGTGGCTGATTTTATTTATTCCAGAAAGGTCTTTGTAAAACTGCCCCTGATAGAGTATTTATTAATATAAACAAACCTCAGCTACAAGCAGACAGGTCTCAATTTATCCCACTATAGGGAAAGACAAACTTATTCTCTTTTGGGAGACAGATGTTATTTTTTCCCGAAGGTCTGATCCAGTCTTTAAAAAATGGAATAACAAGAGTAGTGGTGTTACTAGGGATTGTAGGTGTAACATAAAATATAATTTCTCATCTCAAAGAGGTTTTAAATAAGAGTTTTAGCAGAGGAAGAGTACGATATAAAAGAAAAATGGTTATTTAAAAGTACAGTATTTAGAAATATGTGTGAAATAGTACATATACATATATTGATCAAAATTCTTACATGAAGTTATATTTTTATTTTGGTAGAATTGGTAGACAAGATTAAATATATTCCAGGTGTACAACATTATAATTCAATATGTGTATATGCTGCATAGTGTTCACCACTGTAAGTCTATTGTCAATCCATCCCCTTCACCAATTTCCCCCTCCCTCCAATCCTCTTCCTGTCAGGTAACCACTTCTCTGTTCTCTGTATGTATGAGTTTGTTTCTGTTTTGTTTTGTTTGTTCATTTGTTTTGCTTTGGGTTCTTTTAGATACCACATATAAGTAAAATCACATGGTATTTGTTTTTCTCCATCTGACTTATTTCACGTAGCATGATACCCTCAAGGTCCATCCATGTTGTCACAAATGGCAAGATTTTTTTTCTTTTCTTTTCTTTTATGGCTGAGTAGTTATATCACATCTTCTTTATTCATTCATCCATTGATGGGCATTTAGGTTGTTTCCATATCGTGGCTATTGTAGGTCAGATTCTTTATGTATGTTCTTCCCCTAAAATCAGAGGTGATTGTGCTTCTATTATGTAACTGATGATTGAAATACATCAGTCTGGAATGTTCTGTCTCTTGCAATTATACATCGGAGCTGTTTAAGTGTTTGTGGTATAGTTATAAATCATGGCTCTTCATTGAGTGGAAATTCATCTCAGGAACTCAAACATAAAAGCAGATGATGAAAGTCCTTGATAAAATCCTAAAGCTGAAAGAATCTCTAACAAGCATCTATCCCCCTGCCCACTGTGGTGTGTAATGCACTTAAATGTTGGTGGAAAGAAATCACCATTTTGGAAATAGAAGTGGAATTTTTATGTACATAAACATCCTCCTGTACAGAAGTGTCAATCATCTTACATCTCCAAGTTCTCAAGATGAGAGCTTTTTCTCTTCCTTCCATGATGTGGGACCCATCTTTTCATACTCAAATGGTCCACGAAGTTGCTTTGTTTTCCAAAAGGCAGTTTTCTTCCTGGAAGGAATTTTGCCTCTAGCTTTTAAAATAACATTTTTCTGTCCTCACAACTTATCAGGATTAACAACATTTTAAAATTAAAATGTTATGTCTATTTTCTCTCACTTTTGCCATGAAATGATAGGCTATCTAATTTGAAGTGCCTTTTTGATTGCTGGCTAACATTCTGAAAACATAAATATAGCTAGCTAGCTATGTAACCATGTATCCTTAAAGATAATATTGCTTACAAAAGGAATGATTGTAACAGAGAAAAGACTCTTTCCAGTGTGGGATAATATATAGAAAGAGATGGAAATCAATAGTTATAAATGAATTTTTTATGCAACAAAGGGAATTATATTTGCTTAAAGATAAAAGTACTATTTCCAAAATGATTTTTAGCTATAATTTTGGTTATAGATTGTATCTAGTGGCTGTTGTTACAATAATGCTGCTTTGATAAATTATCCCCAAACTCAATAGCTTTTATTGTCATGCATATGAAGCTGGGTGTGTGTGTGTGTGTGTGCGTGTGTGTCTGTGTGTGTGTGTGTGTGTGTGTGTGTGTGTTGGGGGAGGGTGTTAGCTGATCTAGACTTGGCTTAGCTCCAAGGTACAAGTTGATCCAGGCCTGCTCCCCATGATTTTTATTCCCGTGCAGGCCAATTGGGGCATGTTCCTTTTATGCTGCAGCAGAAGCACAAAAGGTCAAGCACCACTAGACGGGCCCATTTCATAACTGTGGTTATGTTATGTCCACCAACGCCCATTGGCCAAAGCAAGCATCAGTGGGACAGGGAAGCAAATTTCTGCCACAGTGGGAGAGGAGGGAATGAATGTTTGCTAAACAATAATTCAAACTATCCCATAAGCTAAATATCATATAATTATCCACCATGCCCCACATTTCACGTCTCTCTGTAAGCCAGATCCAACCAAGAGTGGCTTGAATCTGGACGGGCTGTTAACAACGTGTGTCAGGGAAGTAATCCATTCATGTGGGAGCAAAGATTCCTCTCCCAGAAACATGAATTTAAGACAAACCTGACAACCTCCTTGCAGCAAATTCTTGAGAGGAAATTGTAGGGCAAGTCACCAAACTGACCCAATTTCTACAATCTAGTGCTAGAAAACTATCAGCACCTTGCAATAAATTGTAGCTCATGAATATTGAGTAATTCACGGTGCATATATCTTGTAAAATGAGGCTCTCAAGAATCCAGAACAGAAAATAAGGCAATGCAATGAATGCTGACATATTAAAACTTAATTAATTTCATATTAATTTGTTCAAAGTGTCATGTAATTGTACACAATTGTTATTGTTTTACCATCTGGTTTGCTCAGTTGATCCCTACAAAAATGCTGGAGTATTGCACTTTTTCCTGTACACATCTCTGGCTTCTTGATTTAGCACAGAGGCTGGTAAAGTACATCACGTGGGTTAAATGTGGCCCAGTGGCTGTTTTTGTAAATAAAGTTTTATTGGAACCCAGCCATGCCCATTTGTCTGTGTTGTTCACGGCTGCATTCGTTCTACAATGGCAGCTTGAGAAGGTGCAACAGAAACAGCATAACTGCAAAGCCTAAAATATTTACCATGTGGCACAGAAAATGTTTGCCAATCCTGATTTAACATAATGCTAGGCAGTTGAAATTTTGGAATTTGGGCTATTTATACAGGTCTGGGATGAATATTGCCTTTGAGTCATCTCTAGGGAAAATTATTTGTTAAGGCAATCAATACTATAAACAAATATTACACAGAAATTTTAACCTATTTAAGAAAACAACCATTTTAATACTGTAGGTTATGAGCACTCATATCCAGGCAGATAGTTATTATACCAATTGTAAATTTTGTATCTGTTGTTAAAGTAGACCCTGATAAACTCTACTGGGTTTCACTTTTTTAGCTTTAAAGAAGATGACTTTATTTGCCATAAATCTATGTTTTTAAATATATGCTTGTTGGGCCGCCAGGTGGCTCAGTTGATTAGAGTGAGAGCTCTGAGCAACAGAGTTGCTGGTTCGATTCCCACATGGGCCAGTGAGCTGCACCCGAACTGAGCTGCCACTGAGCTCCTGGTGGACGGCCAGATATCTCAATTGGCTAGAGTGTGTGCTCTTAACAAAAAGGTTGCCGGTTTGACTCCTGTATGGGATGGTGGGCTGTGCCTCCAGCAACTAAGATTGGACACGGCACCTTGAGCTGAGCTACTGAGCTGCTGATGGGCAGCCAGATGGCTCAGTTGGTTAGAGTGCGAGCTCTTAACAGCAAGGTTGCCAGTTGGACTCCCGCATGGGATGGTGGGCTATGCCCCCTGCAACTAGATTGAAAATGGCAACTGGACTTGGAGCTGAGCTGGGCCCTCCACCACTAAGATTGAAGGACAACAACTTGACTTGGAGCTGATGGGTCCTGGAAAAACACACAGTTCCCCAATAAAGAAAAATAAAAATAAATAAAAATATGGTTGTCATTACTTCAAACCTCCATTCACACATATCATTACATCTGAATTAATGTAGTTTTGCGTTATATGTGATGTTCGTAGGTATTTCAAAATGCCAGCCCTTGATGTCCTTTTTGAGGTTGGAGAGAGCAAAATCTTGTATCTTGCCAGATATTCACTCTTGGAGATAGTCTGACCATTTAAGAAAAAAGAAACACTAAGATTTATCAAGACTTAGAACAAAAGCATCTATAGGTTTTAAAAGTGAATGTGAACAGTCAGTTATTTCCAGTAGGTGTGGAATTTAAGACAATGAATAACACGAAGCTGTTTCTGGTGGGTGTTGAATTAGATTCAGATGTGTATATTTCTGAGTCCTGTGCTTCACTCTAAACCCCAAATGAGACCTCAGTGTGAAGCCTGGACAATGCAAGAAAGAGTTCATTCCAACCTCTTCTTTACTCTGGGCTAGAAGCGAACTGTCTGTAAGACACAGGATTTAGACAATAGACTCCGAAGTCAGAGGTTAGGTAAAAACAAAGAGGGTGCTGACTGCCCACACTTCTGAAAGGAAGCTTTTGCGGGGGTAACTGCCAGGCAGGTAAGGCGCTGTGGATGATCACCGAGTTCCTTTACAAGCTACATGGGATTGGAATCTGTTAAATGACAGGAGTGTTTCTCCTTGCCAGCTGAATGCACTTGGCTCAAAGGGCTTTCTTCTGTTATTTTTCAGGAGTCGGGTGGGAGAGTGTGCTGCTAAAGGGAGATGAACAAGCCTCAGACGCGGCAGAGACATTCAGCGCAGACATGACTATCAAGGTAAGGAGCCCCTTCTCTAATATGATTCTTGAAGTGCATCTCTAGACGAAAGTGAGCCTATGGCAGACTTCTAGGGGCAGAATTAGCACTGCCCCTCCACCCTGCCTCCTCCTCTCTATTCACTGACGTCTCAGTGAGTCAACCAGTCATGAGATTTCCTGAAATTTGGGATCTGGATGAGGAAACCACCTGAAAGCTAGAATCCAAGATGTGATTTCCAATGAGCCTGGTGTAGTAGGGTCTCCAGTGAGCATCTACATGTAGGTTGTCTGCACGTGGTAACCTCATGGGCACAGTGAGGCAAAGCTGAAAATTCTGAGCTGAGAACCCGAGCCCCACTGTGCATTGTGAAGAAAGGTCAGAGAGGCATAGAGTAGCTTTGATCTTGACTCAAGATTTCCACTGATGTCAGCGGGGAAAGCAGCACATGGCCCACTCCAGCTGGAATGCTAATGGCCAAAGGTTTACAAAATGAGTCATCTGGAAATCAACCTAATTATCACTGTTCAAATTAAATGCATGGATTTGTCATCATTGCCTGGGTTAAAGAATCCATAGTGAAATTTATCAGACTCAACCCCTTCCCCTCTATTACTGGATTAGGCACAAGGGAACATTCCTCCTCTCTTGGAATTCTGTTTATGTTTCAGTTAGCAAAGCCTGGGGGTGGGAGGCTTCCTTGCATTTTTGCTTGAATGCTTAGAATTTAAATATACATCACTTGTGAATTTTTCTTTGAAAAGCAAAGAGTAATGTCCCTTTTTATATTGATATAACTAGAGATACGTCACTCCTGGATTTATTAGTAAAGGTTGTACAAAAGAGTATACAGTATGAATTTACTCAAGCTTTCCTTTGTAAGGTGAAGTCTGAACGTATGTTATCTATGTTAAAAATGTTAGAGAAAGCAAACAAAAATTCCACAATGAAGTTAAATGCAAGATGGGTAGTAGCCTGATTGATCCAAAAAAGTCAACTAATCGAAATAATAAATATCCAGTGCTGAAAGTTCGTTCGCTTGTAATTATGTTTAGCAGAATTTGTAAGATGATAATATAAATTGCAATGATGTGTTTGTGTTTCATTGGCTATTGTTGCAAGGACTGAGAGGTTTGAGGAGTGTATGGATAGAGAGAGATGGATGCAATAGTAAAACTTGATGGAGTTAGATGTATCATTTTGGAATCGGTCACCATTTTAAGAATTAGTTCCTGAGATATATTGCTAGTATAGTTGCAGATGTAGTGTATATGATCAGAAAGACTGGAGTTTGTTTTATAAAAGCAAATGGAATATTCTGATAGAAGCAAGGCCCATCCAAGTCTCATTTTATAAGGTTGCTACTTAATCAGTCTACTTTATCCTTGGTACCAGGATGTTGGCTGAAGTTTCATTTGGGTCTATATAGTTTACGTGTCATTCTCATTCTCTCTTATTCTCTTCTGTTTTAATGAATACCTGGGAATTTTTTTTATAAGAACAGAGGATTTTTATTTCACAAGAACTGAACCCACGGTGAAGACTGAACAACATACACTTTAACAAGTTAGGCAAAATAGAAATATATTTGAAAACATCAATAAATTTGTACAAACATTAAGTTCCTCTATTAATGCCAATCTTTTCTCACTAAAGAATCTGTGAAACCTCTAGATGGATATGCCTTAGAGAAATACTTCTGTTTAGAGCTTCTCCTTTAGGTTTCCCAATTAATCAGCAATCACCAATTTTTGTCCAATGGTATCATGCTGTTTCCCACTCCACATTGCTTTATGTATCCATCCTATCCTTCTATCCATCTTAAAGTACTATTTTTTTCTGTGTCTACAAGTGCCTGATGTTCATTAATTAACTACAGACTCTTCATTACATATTTATGTACCTACAGCCATTCCATTTTCCAACAGCTACTTCCCATGTCCTTGCAATAACAGCCATTCCTGCCTTTTCCTGGGAAAACAAAATATTCTATTAAATCATGAATTACAATACAGCATGATGTAGTGACGCTTGCCAAGGGGAACATCAGCAGAAATCACTAAAATCGTTTGGTTTTCTCCATGTTGCTCTTCTTGTGATAGACGTGTATCTATCTTAGTGCTTACAATTTTTCTTTCAGAAAAAAGGTGCAACATTTTTTGCAATGTCATAATTGTCTGAATGTGGTGTATCTACTATGTGTAGCCTCTAATACCATGTCTGATTTTGTAATGACAAAGTCATGCTTCCAAAAATATACATGACTCAGATGAGTGAATTCATGTATAAACTTCTGTCATTTGGAGGAACCTTGAAGTACAAGCATTTATATTAATAACACCCTCTAAATACACTGATGTAAGTAAGGAGCATCATGTGGTCCTGCTCAACAATTTCAAATGACTCAGTTTAGTAGGTTGAATCGCGAACCCCTTCCCCTTCCCCTCCAAACAATATGTCCAAGTCTTAAACCCTGGTACCTGTGAATTTTGACCTTGTTTGGGAAAAGGGTCTTTATGGATGTAATTATGTTAAAAATCTCAAGATAAACTCATCCTGGATTAACTAGATAAGACCAAGTCCAATGACACATGTCCTTATAAGAGACAGAAGAAAAAACAAATGTGAAGAAGACCATGTGAAGAGACGATAGCTGAGATTGGAGTTACAGGCAGGCCCAAGGCAATGAACACGTGTAGCCACTAGGAGCTGGAAGGGCCAGGAAGGACTCTCTGCTACAGTGTTTGGAGGGAGCATGGCCCTGTCAATACCGTAATTTTGGATTTCTAGCCTCCAAAATTGTGGAGAATAAATTTCTGTTGTTTTAAGCCACCAAATAGGTGGTCATTTGTCATGGCGGCCCTGGGAAATGAATACACTCAGATCTACCAAGAATTGCTTGTACTCTTCTTGAGTGCCATTGACATATAGACAGATAAACCAATGTTATACACATCCATTACAATTTTCTTATTATACGTGCTCACCCTTTAAAAGTTGTTTTCACCTGTCCTTGTTTTAAGAGAACCACTAATCTATTGCAGCCTGTAACACCACTCGCTAGAAGAAAAGGGTAGTCATATTTCAGGATAATTTCTCTGTATCTTATTCTGTTTTACTGCTTGTCTAGAAATTGATCTTTTTTTAATTAAATTTGTTGGGGTGGCAATGGTTAGTAAAATTATATAGCTTTCAAGTGTAAGAGACATTTTTATTATTATTATTATTATTTTTAAAGATTTTATTGGGGAATTGGGGGAAGGGAACAGACAAGTTGCTGTTGTTTTGTGTAAGAGACATTTTTATAACACATCATTTATATATGACATTGTGTGCTCACCACCCAGAGTCAGTTCTCCTTCCATCACCATATATTTGACCCCCTTTCCCTTTTCTACCACACCCCGCTCTTACCCTCTGGTAACCACTGAACTGTTGTCTGTGCCTATCTTAGAAATTGATTTTTTAAAGAAAGGTATGAATCAATACTTTCTAAAACTTGCCTTACCACGAGAGTCACCTGCAACAGTGTCAGAAACAACAACAAAATACAGTTTCCCAGGCTTCTCCTTTCAAAATCCACATTCAGAAGATCTGGGTATGAGAATTAGCATTTTTAACAAATGGTCGGGGTGACTTTTATGGTCAGTGTGGGAAAATGTGGTCTTAGCACACCACTGCAGCAGCATCGGGTGTGGCCACATGAGCCTTACCTCCGCTCCTGGCTCTCTTGTTGTTCAGTTGGTCTGAGAAAGGACTTGGGGACGTCCCTGTTCGAAATCCTTTGATTCCATTCCTTTCGAACACTGACTAGGCTCAGATGCCTCCTCCTGGCATTTCAGGTTTCCTCACTGTAATTGCAGTTGAATTTCTAGCCCTACCTTCCTCTGGGCCTCTGTCTGTACCCATTCTTGATCTCTCTACTCACCTGCTTGTAGCTGGAGAGATTTCTTTGAAAGGCCAATCTGATAACGCCCCTCTGCTCAAAGCCCTGCACGCCTTCCCGTTGCTGTTAGAACAAACACCAAACTCCGGCAGGGGCTGTGCTTTTTAAAACCCCATGGCTTTTAGTGACCTGTTTGGGTTCCTTTCTCCTTATTTTTCTTCTTATTTTTTTGTGTATCTTTTGTTGATTTTGATTTGTGGTTACCATGAGGTTCATATATATCGATCTCTTTCCATTTCTTTTTCTTTCTTTTCTTTTCTTTCTTTCTTTTTATTTTATTTTCCCCTGTCTGGTTATTTCCCCCTCACATCTCAGCTTTTTTTTTTTTTGCTTGCTTTTTTTTGGTTTTTTAAAATTTACTCATCTTTATTAGCCTAGCAATGTTATAGTCTTTTTTATTGTGGTAAAATACACGTAAAATTTACTTTTTTAATCATTTTTAAGTGTGCAGTTCTGCAGCGTTATATCATTTGTACTGCTCTGCAACCATCACCACCATCCATCTCCAGACTTTTTCATCATCCCACACTGAAACTCTCTACCCATTAAATACTAATTCCTCGTTCCCGCCTCCTCCCCATTAAATATTAGTCCTCCATTCCTTCCTCCCTCCAGCTCTGGGCAACCACCACAGTGTTACATTTTTATACGCAATAATCTCTAGTTGTCTTCTCAAAGGGATTTTAAATACATCCTGTTAATAGTAAAAAGCCAGTAAGATGACTAAACTTGAACCTTGCGTTTTAATATCCTCGGGACATGGCAAGTTAGGAAGGCAATCACTTTACATACATTTAAGAGTAGTGTTCCAAAATAAAGTGACTAGGCAGCTGCTACATGCTAGATTTTTTTTTTTTAAGATTTTATTGGGGAATCGGGGAAGGGGAACAGACAAGTTGCTGTCCTTTTGTTCTTCAGTCTAGTTGTGGAGGACATCGCTTCACTGGCCCATGTTGGTATTGTGATCATTGCGCTCTTTCCAGCTGAGGCTGATCAGTCGCTGGTCATTGGACAACCGCTCACGGTGGCTCTTGGCACCTCACGCTGACTGCCTGCCACTCATGGTAGCTAACGG